GAAGATATCCCCCAGACCCCCCAGGGTCCCCCCAGGGCGAGAGCCGCGCCCCTCCCCACCCAGGAACCCATGACCGCCACCACATACCACCTAAGAGCCTGCACGCGGCCACCAGAAGAAACCCCCCAGGCCCCCCAGGGCCCCCCCAGGNTTGCTTGACTCATCATCAAGCAACAATTAAATAATGAAGTTTTCTCCTGTGATTGTTTTGTTATTTAAATCATTTATTAGGAAGGATGATCAAATGAAAAAACTAAACACATGTAAATAATATCCACAGTTTGGAACAGCGGGTCAGAAACTCGCGCTGGAACGCAGTCTTTTTACGCAAGAGATGGTGAGTAAAGCAAACTGTGTAGGTAATTTAGTTAACAACAAACTTTATTTAGAGGAGGGAAACAAGAAAAATGACACATTTCCTCATCTGGCAGCATTTTATCCAAAGCGACCTGAATCTCTCAGCGCAGACAGCTGCGTTTGGAGAGCAGCAATAATGACAAACTCCGTGCAATTATTTGTTTACCCTGACAGGAAAGTTATCTGCTCTGGGTCAGGTGAGCATTTGGCCCTGACCTGTAAAGGACTATGGGTTGGTTTTTCCCCTCCACAACCCGTCAGCGTGGATCTGGGAGATCTTGCGCACAGGTTTGGGCCAGATGTGGCACAAAATACAAAATTCTTATTTAATTTTTAGGCTGCTTTGGTCGACACACGGATGGTATCAGAGTCAAAACGGGGGTGGAAATTTCCCCCTAGCCCCCGATTCCAGCTGTGATTTCAATTCATAAAACAATATATTCGATGGATGACTATTTTTTTCTAGTAATAATTCTTAGTGCTCTTTTCTGTTAAATAAAAATACGATTTGTGATACTTTTAAAAGCTTTACCCCATACTTCAATACAGTAAATTAAATGTGGAACAATTATAGTGTTATACAACATAAACAGTGTGTTATCATTGAACAGTTTTCCTACTTTGTACAGGACACCAACTGATTTGGCCATTTTTGTTCTTCAAACATTTATATGATGTTTCCATGTCAGTTTTTCATTAATGATGACACCTAGAAACTTCACTTCACTGACTCTACAGATCTCAAAATCATCATTTTTAAATGAAACATCTATAGTTCTCTTATTGCTACAAAAAATCATATAACTTGTCTTATCCAAGTTTAATGATAATTTATTTAGTTGAAACCAACTTTGTGTTTTCACAAATCCTGTCTGTACCATCTCCAACATTTGTTTTATATCTTTACTGGAACAAAAGAATGTTATATCATCAGCAAATAGAAAACGCCCAAAAAGTCCTGACACATTGACAAAATCATTCACATACAAAATAAATAACTTAGGTCCTAGAATGGAACCCTGCGGCACTCCACATGAGTTGTTACAAAACTCATATCTTACATTATTTATTTCTACAAATTGTTTTCTATCTTCCAAATAACCCACTGTAATGCAGGTCCTCTAATACCAAATTTATTTAACTTTTCAAAAAGAATACTGTGATTAATAGTATAACACACTTTTTTTAAGTCAGCAAAAGTACTAACACAGTACTGTTTTTGATCAACAGCAGTTGTTATATGTTCTATTAATTCGATGAGAGCCATCGATGTAGAATTATTTGGTCTAAACCCATACTGACTGTTACTTCATACAGTATATTCTGCCTATCAATGAATTTGTCCAATCT